TGGTTGGGCTTTGCTTCTCAAAAAAAAAAAAAAAAAATTAAAATATAACATTCATGTAGGAAATTCCAAAAATCGGGTGTGTACAAGTTGAAGACGTTTCACAAACTAAGCCCATCTATGTGAGCAGCCCCCAGACCAAGAAGCAGGACCCGAGGAGCCCTGGACACCCTGTCTTGTCACCCTCTGGTGACCACCATCCCAATTTCTAACACCCTGCATTAGGTGGATCTGAATTTTGTACTTTCTATAAGCAGAATCCCACAGTAGGTACTTTTTGCCTGGGGCTTCTTTCAAGAGCATCGTGTTTGTGATCCGCGCTGTGGCCTGTAGTTCTAATGTGTTCACTCCCGCTGTGCAGCATTCCCTGGTGTGAACACAGCACACACCGCAGTTTATTTTCCATTCGACTCTCAGTGGACATTTGGGGTGTTTCTGGGTTTGGGGAGTTATGAACAGTGCTGCTTAGAACACTGTGCATACCTTTGGGGTACCAGTTAGGACATTTCTCATGGAGATGTGCCTGGGAGCCAAAGCAGGGTCCCTGAGATGGCAGAGATGGCAGTGCAGACGTGCCTGCTGCGAGGAGCCCCCCGGGAGGCTGCAGGATCGACCTGCCTCCTCCCTGAGCTGAGAGGTGGACCAGCAGGGCCCCTGGTACCGCTCTAAGCAAACTGGGAGGTGCCCCACTCTTAGTCACTTGCACAATTGTCACGACAGCAAGGCAGTGCTGAATGCTCCCAGTTTATAGCTGAGGACAAGTGAGACTCATGACTGCCCCCCCATTTGCCAGGGCATCGTACCCCACCTGCACTTGTTTGTGCTCAAAGTTCTTTAGGAAACTCCCCATCTCTGAGCCTGTCTCCCCAAAATGTGTCTGCTGCCGCCCACTGGATGAGAGGTTCATTCGTTCACTTTAGACCCAGAGTTCCCAGCCAGTGCCAGACCAGGAATGGGCATCAGGGACGAAGAGTGAACGTGACCAGTGGCGCGCCACCCTCAGGGAACTCATTCCAGGGGAGGTTGTGGGAAGCCTGGAGCCCAAAGATGCCGGTTACAAAGCCAAATCGTCTCGGGGCACCTGGCTCTTGATCTCAGGGTGGTGAGTTCGAGTCCCATTTGTGGTGTACAGTTTACTCAAAATTGAAAGAAAAAAAAAAAAAAAAAAGACCCAGGGCCTCAAACTAGAAGTGACATTTTGGTCGAGAAGACCCATTCTAGAAGTGACGTTTTGGCTTTAAAACCTCTGGGAGGAGCCATTTATTATCTGTCTCCAAGAGCAGAAGATTCTAGAAGCCAGGGTTTGGAGTTACAAGCACCAGGGTGCCAAGTCCTCGAGACAAATCATCTGGCTCATCTCTTGTGCTGGTGGCATTTTCTGATTCTCGTGGTTTAAGTACTCTTTCCTGTGGCCACTTTCAAGCTACCACTGGGATGTTCCTGAATGGAGAGTGGACGTGCCTGCCACACAGGCAGCTCTCACATCCGCCACTGCCGTGCAGCTGGAGGAGAGCTTGGCACACAGCAGGTGCACAGTAAATACTCAGAGAACAAGTGAATGTCCTGTCCCATTTGTGTGTACATCCGGGAGCCACTTCTGTTTTTTGAGCACTTGGCGTGAACCATATTGTCAATCCAAAAACACTCCAAGATCTCACCCTCCACACCCCTCCTCATGCTGTGCAAGCATCAGTCTCCTGTAAAAGAAGCCCCGAGGCTGATCATGTCCTAATATAAATACAAACAACTCCAAGGTGAAGGACAGAGGGCGTGGCTTCAGGAGACCTGGGCATCCATCCCAGGGACAGCCACAGACTCACTGTCTGCACTGGGGTGGTCACCCCTCCCCTTGTGACCTCCCCTTGGATCAACAAGGGGTTTGGAACCTGTTCTCCACCACTGTGTAACGAGCCAGCCCAAAACGTAGTACCGTAAAACCATCACCATTGTATTGCTCAAGATCAGCGAATTTGGGGGCGCCTGGGTGGCTCAATGGGTTAAGCCGCTGCCTTCGGCTCGGGTCATGATCTCAGGGTCCTGGGATCGAGTCCCGCATCGGGCTCTCTGCTCAGCAGGGAGCCTGCTTCCCTCTCTCTCTCTCTCTCTCTCTCTGCCTGCCTCGCCATCTACTTATGAACTCTCTCTCTGTCAAATAAATAAAAAAAATCATAAAAAAAAAAAAAAAAAAAAAGATCAGCGAATTTGGCTGGGCTCAGCTGGGCAGTTCTGCTGGGGTCACTACTGGGCCTGTGTGGTCCAAGCAGCCTCCTCCAAGTCTGGGAGTTAGCTGGGGCTGCCGGCCAGGGTGCCCACGCTCTCCTCCACGTGGCCTCCCAAGCAGAGGAGCCCCGGTCTCCTTCATGGCTGCAGCTACTTTCCAAGAGGGCGAGCCCCAGAGCTCCAGTGCTCCAACCTCTGCCTGCATCATGTTGCTCTTGTCCCACTGGCCAAAGCGGGTCATGCAGCCGAGCCCAGAGCTGATGTAGACAAGGCCCATACAAGGATACGGATTCCAAAAGGCATGGTTTGTGAAGACCATGATTCTTAAGAGTCTGCTGTCTGCCAAGGAAACGGACCAGCGTTCCCCTCGGCCTTCCCACCTCTGGTCTCTGGGATCCTGAGCTTTCTGGGACATCTTACGCTGGGAAGGGAGTGCTCAAAGACTGATTGGAGCAGCGGGTGTCAAAAAGACCTGGGAGCCGGCTCAAAGGTGCTCCTGGTGGTCAATTTTGTGACCATTTGAGCATCTCCAGAATGACTGCAAGTGACTGTAAGTTACCAAATAAGTCAAAACTCATGAATCCATACTGGTGTGCAAAAAAGAAGGGGGAAAACTCACTGCAGAATGCTGCTGAGTAACCGAAAAATAGAATACTAAGACGTGCGGTAAAATGGATGGATCTCAAAAATGTGGTTCTATATAAAGAAGCGAGGCACAAAAGACCACACACTTGATTCCATTTACAGAAATGCCCAGGAAAGGCAAGTGGAGAGAGAACATAAATGGGTGGGGTCCTGGAGGCCAGGGAATTTACTGCAAAGGGTACAAAGGGTCTTTTGGGGGTAATTGGACTATTCTAAAATTATATTCTGATTACAGTTGCCCACCTCCGTAAATTTACTTTAAAAAATAATTAAATTTGGGACATCTAGGTGGCTCAGTTGGTTGAGCATCCGACTCTTTATCTCAGCTCAGGTCTCGATCTCAGGTCATGAGTTCGAGCCCCACTTGGACTCCATGTGGGGGTGGAGCCTACTTAAAAAAATTTTTTTAATATATATAAATTTTTTTTAAAGATCTTATTTGACAGAGATCACAAGTATGCTGAGAGCAGGGGCGGGGGGAGCAGGCTCCCTGCCGAGCAGAGAGCCTGATGCAGGGCTCGATCCCAGAACCCTGGGATCATGTCCTGAGCCGAAGGCAGAGGCCTCAACCCACTGAGCCACCCAGGTGCCCCTAATATATATAAATTTTTAAAAAAGGTTTTATTTATTTCACAGAGTGAAACACAGTGAGAGAAAGAACACCAGCAGGGAGAATGGGAGAGGGAGAAGCAGGCTTCCTGCAGAGCAGGGAGCCGGATACTGGGCTGGATCCCAGGATCCTGGGATCATGACCTGAGCCGAAGGTAGACACCCAACGACTGAGCCACCCAGGTGCTCCTAAATACATACAAAAATTTAAAAAATAAAAAATAATTAAAGCAAGTGCACTTTATAGCATATAAATTGTACCTTAATAAAACCGTTGAATGCAAACTTATTTGCCAGCATTGGAGGTAAGGATCAGGTCCTCACTCGAGTCAGCAACGGGAACAGTAAAAGAAAGCATCCGTCCTCTTCTACAGGTGGAACTGAAGGCCACCTCCAGTCCATCAGGAAAAGCTCTTTTTCAGAACCCTAGCAGATAATGGTTACCAATAATATTTTCCTAGGCATGATTATGGCGTTATGGTTATGCCAGAAAGCTACCTTATTTAAGATTTGCCCATTCAAGTGTTTAGGGGTGAAGTCCATGTCCCACACTCTGAAATGTTTTATTTTTATAAGTTTTTATTTGACAGAGAGATCACAAGTAGGCAGAGAGGCAGGTAGAGAGGGGGAAGCAGGCTCCCCATTGAGCAGAGAGCCCAATGCAGGGCTTGATCCCAGGACCCTGAGATCATGACCTGAGCCGAAGGCAGCAGCTTAACCCACTGAGCCACCCAGGCGCCCTGAAATGTTTTAGAGAAGTATTTACACGATGTAAATATGACAAAATGTAAATGAATGATTCAAGGTGTTGGTTTGATGGGCGTCCTTTCTAGGATTTTCCTTTTAACTTTACTGTACATTTAAAATTTTCAAAGTGAAGGGTTTTTTTGAGTGCCTTTCCTATAAACCTCCCAATGTCTGACAGTGAAAACATCCAATCTAGCCAGCTTGGATGTGGTCCATTCCTACCCGTTCCAGCCTTTGGCCCCTGCTCTACAGTGACTGAACCTGAGCCTGCCCCCCCGCCCCCACAGCTGGGCCAACACCTGTATCTTCTAGATACGGACTCTGGGGCCCAGAGAGAAGAGACATTACCCAGATGCTGCCTGGATCCACACCCAGGCTGCCCCCATCTGTGCCCTTAAGCACTGTGCTGACACTCCACCACTTGGCCCCCCAAACCTGGGGGTCCTGCCTGCCTTGGGACCCATTGACCCTGTCAGGCTGCCACGTAGCCCCAAGGGGGCTCACAGTCCCCTTGTCCAAGCTTCCCTCCACCTTTGCCCTCTTGGAAACTCCACCCACTACACCCCAAAGAGCGAGTCCCCAGTGGTGGCCCAGGAAGCCTATGGCCACACATGTACCCATCAGCATGACCACATGGAATGGCATTGTTTTTAAACTTTTTTTTTTTAAGATCCCCCGTTTTAAGAGACAGAGAGAGAGAGAAAAGCAGACTCCCCACTGAGCAGAGAGCCCCACCCGGGACTTGATCCCAGGCCGAACTCACTGAGCCACCCAGGCACCCCGGAAGGTCACTGTTTAAATCATTTATTTGGAAGTCGATGCACACACACTCTACCATAAGAAAGTTGGAAGCTGCAACAAATCCAGGGCCCGAGGCAGTGCATGGACGCGTAAACAAAGACAAAACGAAGATGCCGAAGGTGCCGCTCTGAGTGATTCGGGAGCAAATCGGAGAGGCCAGGCCCCGGCCCAAGATGACACTCATAGCGCTGGGTTAAGTGCAAATGAATGGAATGCGGGACTGGAGAGGAGGAGGGCCACCCCAGGCCTCCCCACCCAGGAGGCTGCTCCTTCCTGGGCACCAACCTTGGAGAGTGGGAGCCCTGGCTCGACACAGGATCCCCCAGCCTGGGGAGCAGGAGGGAGTGTGCAGAGCAGTGGGCTCAGAGCTGATGGGCTGGGCCCACACCACCCCTCTATTTCTCCTCTGTCTCCCTGCCAGGACCCCTCTGCCATTCAGGGGCTAGGGGCCCTGGTTTGGGGAACCAGCCTCCGGAGTACAGAGACCAAGGAGGCCTCTGTGTCTCTGGGAGGCTTCTCGGCCTAAAAGGGGCAGACCTCAAAATAAAGTGTTAAGGCAATAAATAAAACATCCCACCTCCGGTGAAAACACTGTGAGATAAGTCTGCAGGGCTGACAGCACCCCGCAGATGTGGGGACAATGTGGGGACAACGTGGGGATGGCTGTAGGACCAGCCACTGCCCAGCTAGAGCATTTATGTGTCGAGCCAAAGGCAAAGCGCCTGGCTTAATGAGGGCCGGGGATTCGGTCCAGCCCTGTGTGTCCTCTGACCTCCCTGACATGGTCCCTGGGCCCCTGCCACCAATGGCAGCACAGGCGACAGGCCTGAGATAAGCCCTGGTCGGAGCCTCCAGCCCGCCCTAGCACCACCCGCCCCTCCCCTGTCCCTCTGTGGTGGTGGCAAAGGGGAAAGAGAAATAACTCTTTGGCAGGACAAGGGCATATCAGAGGACAGCATTCTGGTTTCATGCTTAGGTTTGCCAAGGGCCCAGTCCCTGCCCAGACTTGAGCACAAGGAAAGTTGAGCTGCCCTGTCCCACCCTCGGATGGTCTAGGCATGCCATCCCCCAAGGGGTTCCCCTGGCACTCTGTGGCCCCACCCTCCCTTTCTGAAGCTGTCAACACTGTAGGGCGGCAGCCGGCGGGACTGCGCAGCCGTCTAGCCCAGGTTCCTTCTGTCTAGGACATTGTGGCCTTTGCCACAGAGCCCTGCCGCCCCATCTTCCACAGCCTCCTTCCATCAGCAGCCCTGGGGTCAGGGGAGGTTTTGGGGTCCCACACCAAGGCCATCCCAGCTCTGCATGTCCCACCTGTCCTCGCAATGCCACTCCCTCTCTCCCACCACCTTCCTCTCCCTCGGGCGCCACAGATCACTGGTCCAGCCGCCGCTTCCCCCAGGGATAGCTGAGTGCAGTCAGGTGGGCTCCCAGGGGCTCCAACCCTCTGCAAGGCAGTTGGTGGGGATTCCCAAATGAGGACGAGGGACCAGGTCGGGGCAATCACCCTTGGCCACCAAGGCCCAGGCTCTGCTGCTGCTGATGGCCATGGATCTCCAGGCCCTTCCATGCCAACCCAGAGGAGGGGAGGAAACAGCCTTCTCTCTGCGCTCGCCCTCACGGACAAGGCCCAGGCGCCCCCCCCCCCCACTGCAGGCCTGCCCCCGCCACTACTGCAGCTCCCCCAGGGGCCCGTTCTCCCGCGGCACTGCCCCGTTGAGGCCCACGCTGCTGGCCACGGGCACCCCCAAGTAGCCCAGCAGGATTTCGCTGCGGCGCCGGGACAGCTGCAGGACGTCATCTGCCAGCGCCGGCACAGACGTGTAGCGCACGTTGTCCAGGTCGAACATGTCCCGCAGGTACTGCACGATCTGGTGCTGGGGGGTCAGGCTGGCGTCGGCCGGGGATTTGGGCCCCACTCCCCCACACAGATGCCCTCCAGACCGCCCCAAGCCCCTCCCTGGCTACCTACCGGGGCGCCAGCCCGTCCACAGGCTCCGCAGCCCACCCCGTGCTTGCTGCAGACCCACGTGGTCAGGCTCTCCCCAGGCACCCCTGCGCATCCAACAACCCAGGCAGACGCACATGGGCCGGGCTCCCGCCAGGCACTCCCATGCACCCAACAGCCCAGGTGGGCCACGCCCCGTTTACCTTGAAGAAAGCACAGACTTCTGCAAGCTGGGGCTTGGGTCCAAGGAAGCCGAAGGCTAGGACGGGGCTAACGTGCTCCGATACGGAGTAGAAATGAGAGATGAAGCCGTCGGGCACCTGGAAAGGCGGCGAAGCTCAGAGCTGAGACGCCGGCAGTGGGAGGCAGCCGGGCCCAGGGGGCTCAGTTGCGGGCTTGCTGGGTGACCCCAGGAAAGTGATAGGGCTTTCACCTCCGCAGAACAGGGGTAACCTCGAGGCTACTGGGAGGACTGCATGAGGAGGGGGCGGGGTGGGCTCAGCACAGGAAGTGCCCAGTGAACTTGGCAGTGGCGGCTGGTATCTACCAGGCAGCCGAGCCTGGCTGGCAGAGGGGAGCCATGGGTCGCAGCACAGATAGAGCAGCCAGTCGCCGCCTGGGGGAGCAGGTAACAGCAGCCTGGGGGTGGGAGGGAGGCTGCCCTGCCTGCTTCCGGGGCGCCCTGCCCCCACTATATGCCTCCACCAAGCCAGGCACCTCCCCTCCCTCAAGGATGCACTTTCCCCGGTGAGTCCTCCCACAGTTCCTGCTGGCCCGTGCTGTGCGGGGTCCTGGGGAGGAGAGGAAGCACAACTATGTGCATCTTTGTGGTCCTCCTGGTCAAGGGACAGAGAACGGCAAGGCAGGGGGCCAGTGCTGTGGCAGAGGACAAGAGGTACAGCAGGGCCTGGGGGCTTACTTAGCAAGATCTCCCTGCACCAGCCCCATTCCTCTGCCCACCCCTCCCCACGCCACCCTGCCCCTAGAACAAGGGCTAGTGCACGCCCATTGGTCATCTGAGGTGGGGGCCGTGCCCGGGGCCCGAGGGGGTCACTCACCATCAGCAGTCTCCTCTTGGCTTTTAAGACTGACCAGCAAGCGGTGGCCAGAGCCTAAATCAAAGATGGGAGCCCGGCCAGGTTTCAGAAGGCCAGGCCATGCCTGCAGCCCTGAGCTATGTGCCCCCAGCTCCCATCACCCCAAGCAGGAAGACAGGGCTTGGTGCCTCAGCTCTGCTGCCTCCCTCCTCTCAGTCCGGAACTGGCCACACCTAACCCGGAATCCTGATGCCAACCCTCGTGGCGGCAGGCCTCTGCACTCACCACGGAACTTCCCCGGACCTCAGTTTCCTTCTCTGTAAAATGGCCACGACCCAGCACGCCCACCTCATTCAGAGGTTGTGCAGACCCGCAAACTGCATAAAGACCAGCCCCAGGTCACGCCTGCCCCACGGGGCCCAGGCTCAACTTCTCCCGCTGTTCCTTTTTCTTTCCTGTGTCTGAACTCAGTAAGATGCATTGACACGGAGTAGAATTAACGGAGACCACGATGCAGAAGGAAAATGCCCACCCTGCGGGTTCTGAACGGGTGCAGAGAACAACGGGGTCCCCTGGGAAGCTGGTCCAGAGCAGATACCTGGTCTGCCGAGGTTCGGGAGCTGCACGTCATGCAGGGAAGGGGAAGCTGCCCAGAGGGGTGACTGCTGCCTGACGGGTGGGGGGCCCGGGCTTGGTGCCCAAAGCCAGGGAGGGAGGAGAACAGAGTCTGGGCCAAGGCACAGGGTGATGTGAGTGCATGTGGGACGCGGAGGGCAGCCACCCACCGTCTCCTTGAAGCTGTCTGACAGCCACCGGTTCCTCAAGACAGCGAGCACCGAGGATGGGGGGTTCTCCAGGTCCTCGAAGGCGTCCATGAGGATGAAGTCTAGCACAATATCAAAGAAGCTCATGCACACCACCTGTGAGAGGGCAGGGATGCTCTGAAGGCTGCAGGCCCACTGTCCGGATGGGAAGACCGAGTCCAGAGAGGCGCGGGTGCGTGGGGGCCTGGGTGGGAACACACGGGTGAGTGGGCACCTCTCCAGGCCACAGTGGGGCACAGCTGGCAGAGCCTGGGCCCGTGCCAGGGCAGGACCCGAGGGCCAACAGCAGCGATGGGCCCATCTCAGGCCTCGGAATTAAGGTGGCGCTCCGCACAGGCACCCCCTCCCCCCAAGGATCTCAGGTATGAGGGACCCTGCGGCCTCGGGGCTCAGCATAAACCAACTCACCCCCCGGCCCTCCAGCTCCAGCCGCGTGGTAGCCCAGGTCTCGGGCCGTAGGGCATAGGCCATCATCTCCTCGTAACTCTCCAGGAAGCCTTTGGGGCTCTGTGGGGAGAAGCACAGCCCGTGGTGGTCATGAGAGAGGCTCCATGGCTCACCTGGACGAGATCCACAGGAACAGGCAGAACAGGCCCGTGGAGGGACGAGCCAAGGCGAGGCTGAGGTCGATGCTGTAGCGGCGGCCATCGAGAAAATCGGGCAAGAAGTGTCCTCTGACCACCAAAATGTGCCTCTCAGAGACCAGGACATGTCTGGGAGAGATCCAACAGCGGCACACCCCACAACATCTCACACCAACTCACAACCGGGCACCACACGCCGCCCAGGAGATGCAAACACTCGACAGCGTGAGCTCACTTTGCAAAGATGCATGAGGACAGGAAGCGGAGTCAAGCAGCCAAAGATGAAAATCTTTGTGCCCCAGTGTGTCCCTGATGAAGCGGGAGAAGCTACGGCCCACACTCCTGGGCCTGCTCTGGGGGAGTCAGTGAGCTCACGCACATAACACCATCAGCCCAGCGCCTGGACCTAAATGACGAACAGCGTCTAAGACCTGCTGCTGCTGTTGGTGTACAGGATACATCCCGCGCGTTCTGGGGCCGGGAGGTGGAGCTGGGGCGTGTGACATGACGTGTACACGCAGGGATGTGCACACCAGGGGTGTGCACGGACGGACCTGGGAAGCGGGGGTGGGCCACGGTCTATCCTCACACAGATCAACATATCTAACTCGTGGTACTAAGAGGGATGGTCCACCAGCACACCCACTCTACAGAAAGGCACGCTGAGGCTTTGGGACATCAGTGATGTGGCCGAGAGCCAGGCAGGATGGAGCTGACACAGAAGAGCACAGGCAGGTTGATGCCACTTACGCAGAACCCTGGGTGGAGGAGCCACGAGACAGGTGTTCACCAAAATGGGAATGTGGTGGAGTAGGGGACAAATTCTTTTTGCTTTTATGTGTCTGTTGGGTTTTGCTAAAATGAGTATTTTTGTAATCATTAAAAAAAAAACTATTTTCATTGAGTTTTGAAAAGAATTTGCTAGAATGACCCCAGACCATGCCTTAATCCCTGAGTCTCAGTTGCTTCACCTGTAAAGGGGGACAATGAAGATGGGGGCTGGTGGCCAAGCACATCTGACAGGCTCTCCCCAAGTCCCCAGGACACGCTCACAAACACATTAGGTGAGGAGGCTCGGAGAGGGCACAGGTCTGGCCCGTGGACACGCAGCAACGACGGGGGCTGATCTAGCAAGAGCCTAGGTGCTGCCCACAGAACGAGCACCCTCCCGGGGTGGGTGGGATGGGGTGAGGGTTCACCCCGTCTCTGCCTGCCTGCAAGGGTCTGACAGGGCATCTGTGCCTGCCGGGGTCCCGGGGCTTAGTGCAGGCCCCGCCCTCGAGAGCTGCCCCCCAGCTCTTCGTGAAACCTACATCCCACACTGAGATGAGCAAGGACAGCCGTACCTCCAGGCCCCTTGGGGAGGGCCACGGAGAACGGACACCTGCTAAGCACCTGGTACCCACTCGCCCTCACCTGCCCTTCCTTCACGAGTTCATTCCCTCCCTGTGTTGGGAGGCCACAGAGAACAGGCCAAGGGCTAGGCTGAGGTCAGGCCAACCTGGGTTCAAAGGCCAACTCTGCCCATCCTTGGCTAAGGGACCCAGGCAAGCCCCTGGCCCTCCCCTTATCCACCGAGTGTTTCCTTATCCATCGAGCAGAGACTGTGGTCAGGACCAAATAAGCAACTAGATATAAAGACACATGATAAAGCGCTGGGTTCATTGCTGGGTAAACAGCAATGGAAGAATAATCTGGAACACTTAGGGAGCACCTGCCCTGTGCCAGGCCCTGGGCCAGGCACACACCTGTGCTGGAGCAGCTGTGGTCCTGGCCCTCGGGGAGCTTGGCAAGTAGTGAGAGAGAGCAACCTGCCAACAGGATGACGGGTCATGGGGCAGCGCTGCCAGGGTGAGCCCGAGGACTCTTGGCAAAGCCCTCCTGGGGAGACAGACGGTTAGCAGGGACTTAAAAGATGGGGAACCCAGGAGAAGGGGAAGGAATGGGGACCAGGGAGCTTCTAGATGCTGGTCTAAGTTCTACTTCCTAGCTTTGGTGCTGGGTACGCAGGGGTTCACCTTTTAATCCTATAAATACATTTCATATTCCCATGTGTGTATTTACAATAAAGCAGCTGACGACCACAGCACTGGGCAGCGGTGTTCCGGGCACAGAGGGACCAGCATAGGTGAAGGCCCAGATTGGGTAGAAAGTCTGGTACAGGTATACACTAAGAGCCTGAGCCCTTCGGGGCGCCCAGGTGGCTTGGTCAGGTAAGCATCTGACTTTGGCTCAGGGTCCTGGGATCAAGCCCCAGAGCGGGCTCCCCGCTCAGTGAGGAATCTGCCTGTCCCTCTGCGCACCCACCATTTGCTCTCCGTCTCTCAAATAAATAAAATCTTTAAACATAAATAAATAGGGCGCCTGGGTGGCTCAGTGGGTTAAGCCTCTGCTTTCGGCTCAGGTCATGATCTCAGGGTCCTGGGATCGAGCCCCCACATTGGGCTCTCAGCTCGGCAGGGAGCCTGCTTCCCCCTGTCTCTGCCTGCCTCTCTGCCTACTTGTGATCTCTCTCTCTGTGTCAAATAAATAAATAAAATCTTTTTTAAAAACTAAAATAAGGGGTACCTGGGTGGCTCAGTGGGTTAAAGCCTCTGCCTTCGGTTCAGGTCATGATCCCAGGGTCTTGGGATCGAGCCCTGCATCGGGCTCTCTGCTCAGTAGGGAGCCTGCTTCCTCCTCTCTCTCTCTGCCTCTCTGCCTATTTATGATCTCTGTCTGTCAAATAAATAAATAAAATATTTTTAAAAAATAAATAAACTAAATTAAATTAAATTAAAATAAATCAATAATGCCTGAGCCCTTCAGTCTGGACAAGGCAAAGGGTGTGTGGCAGCCGGCCACGACACAAAGTTTGGTCTTTCCCTCAAGGGCGGTGGGAACAAGGGAACGTTTTCAGGCAGTTGGGTGATGTGGTCAGAGGCATGTTTTATTTTTTATTTACTTGATTTTAGAAGTTTATTTATTTAAGTAATCTCTGCCTCCAACGTGGGGCTTGAACTCATGACCCCGGGATCAAGAGTCTCATGTTCCTCTGACTGAGCCAGCTGGCTGCTCCCAGAGGTGCGTGTTAGAACCACTAGCTGGACGGGTGAGGTGGAAAGGACTCAGGGGAGGGGTGTTCTCAGGGACTTCGCTCCAACAAGTGGCCTATAAACGTGAAAATTCACACAGCCTTATTAATAATCAAGGAAACATGAAAGGATGCATAACATAGATTAAAAGGATTACTAACGTCCAATTACTGACACCTTACATTTTTTTTTTTTAAAGACCTTATCCATTTGACAGACAGAGATCACAAGTAGGCAGAGAGGCAGGCAGAGAGAGAGGAGGAAGCAGGCTCCCTGCTGAGCAGAGAGCCCGACGCGGGGCTCGATCCCAGGACCCTGAGATCACGACCCGAGCCGAAGGCAGAGGCCTTAACCCACTGAGCCACCCAGGCGCCCCCTGACACCTTACATTTGGTGTCACATAAGGACACACGCGATTACGCTGCTGGCTGGCAGGGCATTTCCGAGAGCGGACTGGCAAAACCCAGATGTGCCCGAGACATGGTACTGCCACAGCTGGGCTCTGCCCCACAGAAAACCACAGGTCCCTAAAGAGGTCCCTAACAGACGGATCGTAATAGCGGTGCGACAGTGGAAAATCACAACCCAAACGGCCCTTGGCCGCAGGACCAGCTGAACCACGGCGAGCCTGCCCGAGGGGGCACTATGCGATCAGTCAGAGTGACTACAACCGCCAACATGAGCCAATAGACAAAATATATTCTTCCACAACAAAACACAGCTGCAGAACAGTCTGTAGGGAACTTAGGAAATTAAAAAACCATGTTCAGGGTTAGTCCATGAAACCGGGGAGGAGAAACACAGCCGACTGGAGTGGTAGCTCCCCCTGGCAGGTTCAGGGAGCCCTAAGGTTTGCATTTTGGGAGTCGCTGAACTATAAAACCGAGTGACCGTATCATCAGAAGTAAGAGCAACACAGAACTGTATTTTTCAAAATCAGCATAGGAAACTCCTCCTAAGCCTTTCCCAGCACCCACTGAGCTTTCAGGATGAAAGCTTTCAGATTGGGCTTTTTTTTTAAGATTAATTTATTCAGGGGCACCTGGTTGACTCAGTGGGTTAAAGCCTCTGCCTTCGGCTCAGGTCATGATCCCGGAATCCTGGGATCGAGCCCTGCATCGGGCTCTCTGCTCAGCGGGGAGTCTGCTTCCTCCTCCCTCTCTGCCTGCCTCTCTGCTTACTTGTGGTCTCTGTCTGTCAAATAAATAAATAAAATCTTAAAAAAAAAAGATTTATTTATTCATCTGAGAGACAGAAGGCGTGAGTGCGAGTGGGGTGGTGAAGGGCTGGAAAAGGAAGCCCAGTCAAGGGTTCAATCCCATGACCCGGAGATCATGACCTGAGCCAAAATCAACAAACAGATGCTTAACTGATTGAACGGCCCAGGCGTCCTGGGCTTTTTTTTTTTTTTTTTTTTTTTTTTTTTTTTAAAACAGAACCAAATAAAAGTTACAAAAGTTAAAATTAAAAAAGCCAAGGTAGGGCGCCTGGGTGGCTCAGTGGGTTAAGCCGCTGCCTTCGGCTCAGGTCATGATCTCAGGGTCCTGGGATCGAGTCCCGCGTCAGGCTCTCTGCTTAGCAGGGAGCCTGCTTCCCTCTCTCTCTCTCTCTCCGCCTGCCTCTCTGTCTACTTGTGATCTCTCTCTGTCAAATAAATAAATAAAATCTTTAAAAAAAAAAAAAAAAAGCCAAGGTAGGAAGAAAACCTGAAAAAAGCTACCTTCTCGGCTTTGGTCATCAGGCCCGTCACCATCTGCCGGCCAACCTCCCCGAAGAAAAGTTGGTTGCTCTTGTCTTCTAGAAGACCCTGAGGAATGAGGAAGGGAGGGGAGCGAGCTAGCTGCGAAGTCCATATAATGGGGTGGACCCATGACCCATCTGCGCAGGGGAGGCAGGTGTGCCCGACGGCCCCCCAGCCCCGGCTCTGTCCTCTCCAGGTGCCCCCAACACCCACCTCGAAGGCTTGCCGCACACAATGCAGCTTGGCCAGAAAGTCCTGGTCACTGTAGCAGCCTAGCAGCTCAGTCCTGAGGAGCAGCACAGTCAGTCACGCTGGGATCGGGGGGGAGCCCTGAGTGGTCCTACCTCAGCCGGGCAGTACAACCGTGGGCAAGTGCGGGCCTTCCTCTAGGCCTCGGTGCCCCCCAAACCAAAGGGAAGAGGCTGACTGGACACTCTCTGAGGGTGTCCTGTCCTCAGTGGCACTGAGCACAGCTGGCAGGTCTGGGCCCTGGGAGTTGGGCTGTCCTCGGGCTCCTTCAGGCCCCAGCCAGCCAAGGATGCTCTCGGGCAGAGGACTGGAGTGACCCATCTGCTCCCAGCTGTCACCCCTTCTGGGGCACCTGCAGGCCCCCCGGGCTGGCTCCCCTCATCCACACTTATTTTCAGGCAGTGAACTTTAAACACACGTATTTAAATCTGGAGTCACGGCCAAAAGCCGAGTTCTCGGAGTTTCACATCAAAAAGCAAAATTAACTTAAGATGGATCAGAAACCTAAAAATGCCACAGATGTGGATGCTGAGGCCAAGGGGGGTGAGGCAACTCGTCCAGGGTCACATGCTCTGAAGAGACAGAACTTGGAAGGAATCAGGTCTGTGTGTCCCCAGGGCCTGGCTTCAGGGCCGCGGCGGAGACAGATTACTTCAGAGCACAGCTTTGGAAGAAAGCCCACTGCATTTCTGTGGTTAGATCCACGTGATAACTTAGAATAAGTAGAAACAACTATTATTTCACTAATTAATTATATTAATTTGAGGTTGTTAGTTGTAGGCCTGCCTGTCTTAGAACTCCAGGCCTTTCTAGACCCTCCCTGGCTGGGCCAGGAGCCGCCGCCAGGGCACTGCTGGCCTCCCTGGCCTCCGGCCACAGGGGGACAGTGCCCGCCCCACCTGCCCCTGCTCCCCGCCTCCTCCCCACACACTCGCCTGAGGGTCCGGCACGGCACCCTGCCCTCCTTCACCAGCTGTAGGGCCTCTTCGTAAGCGGCAGCCGGCCTGGAGAGTGGGATCAGGTCATCTCCCACCTGCAGGGACTCAAAGAGCTGGGGGAGGGCGCACAGGAAGAGGAAGGTGGGGTCACCGCCTATGGAGTGTGGGTGTCTGCCCAGGGGACACCCTAGTGTTCAGCCTCTCAGACAGGTGCTGGAGGGAACACTGACCCAACAGGCAAGAGGCGTCGATCTGAGTCCAGCTCTAACTCTCAGCGTCCCCACCTCCGCCAGGGGCCTGACCCAAAGGGACCATCGACTGGACAGGTGCCCACATCTTCTCACGCCAGGCAGGTGGCTGGGCCTGACACACGTGGTCACGGCAGGAGACTAATGCCGAGCCGTGGGCAAGCAGTGTAAGACGGGAGAGGTCGGCATGCGCCAGAACCACGGGGGTGGAGACCCCAGCCCTCCCCCACAGGACCCAGGACCCCTGGCTTCTCACGCCTCCCTGTCTCCAGCCAGTGCGTGGGGTCCCTGGGGAGCGGCACTTGGAGACTGCCAAATTTTGCTCCTATCAGAGGAAATACCTTCACCTTCCCACGACCCAGTACTCATGGTGACGGTCCCACAGGGCCCGGGCTTCACTCTCCCTGCCGCCCTCCGTCTCTGCTCCTCGACCCCATCCCCCTCACCTCAGTAGCGGAGAAGAAGGAATCCTCAGAGTTCAGGCTGTCCTCATCGTCCGCCCGTAGATGCAAGGAGCCCTCGGTCAGGGGCAGCATGAGGGTCCTCTCTGGCAAGAGCAGGAAGAGAAGGGCTGAGCTGAGACTCCGAAATCACCGGGCTTTTTGGAACGCACACGCACAAAGTGACCGATGCCTGATTATGGGCTGGCTGGGGCCACTGATCGCACGGCTGCCGTGTACTGACTGAACACATACGCGAGAAGATTCCGGGCTCAGTGCCTCAAAAGAAGGGCTTCTTTCGATGTTCCAGTATCGCTGGAGGTGGGCACAGTCAGGTGTGGAATTGGGCTGCTGAGGGGGACTGCCCACAGCCACAGAGCTGCACCCCAAGGCCCGAGGGCTCCTGAACTCTGCTCAGGCAGACTCCGCCGTACTGTGTGGCCCTGAGCGACCGGACTCCCCTCTCTGACAAACTGAAACTTAACCACTGATTACAGAGAGCTCAAGGAACGCATCAGTCGTGGACTCGGTGTTTCTAGCCTCGTCTACTCAGGGGCTGTGGGGTTCTGGGCCTTCAGGGCATTTAGGAAAGTTCTGTCGAACATATAACCAGAGGCCATGGCCTTAAAGGCCCCACCAGCCCTCTCTGCCACATGGGGAGGCCAGAGGATGCAGGGTTCCTCTCTGGGGAAAGCCACTGGAGATAGGCCGTGGGAGGATGCGTCACTGTAACAGGCCCTCGCCAGGCCTGTGTCACCACTGGCTGAACTGGAGAGCTGGACACAGGAGTCTGGTGCTCCCCCTCAGAGCTGACAGCACCCAGAGAAGGGTCCTGGGGGTCCACTCACTGCATGGGGTCTGGCACACCGTGGGCACTAGCACACTGGCTATCTGGCCAAACAGCTTCATTCTCTCTCCCTGATGTCACATGCCTTGACCTCAGTTGGGGGTGGGGGGACCAACAGTAAGACCTGTTTTCAACTAACCTCCAGATGAGCCATCCCTTCTGCCCGCCTGGTACCCACAGAAGAGGGCTCAAATCAAAGGCCTGGAACCTGTCAGGGGAGATGTTGAAACACATGCCTGAAGGCCTGCTCCCGAAGGGATGGGTCAAGGCACAGCGGCCGGGGACTCCCAGGGCCCCGCCAAGCCCTGCTGCTGCCTACCACATGTAGAAGAACATTCCGGAGCACCTGGCTGGCTCCGCTGGTACAGCAAGTGACTCTCAATCTCGGGGGGGGGGGGGGGGTAGGTGTAGAGATGACTTAAAAATAAAATCTTAAGGGTGCCTGGGTGGCTCAGTCGGTTAAGCGGCTGCCTTGGGCTCAGGTCATGATCTCAGGGTCCTGGGATCGAGTCCCACATTGGGCTCTCCGCTCAGCTGGGAGTCGGTTTCTCCCTCTCACTCTCGCTCTGTGCTCTCTCTCTCAAATAAAGGAATAAAATCTTTTAAAAAATAAAATAAAATAAAATCTTAAAACACAGAAACAAAACAAAACAAAGCTTCTGTCCCTTAAGGCCTGTACCCCATCTACGTATAAGGCACTGATCGAATGAGGTCCTAAGGCTCTGAGGATTCGGAGGGAGCCACACCCCAGTTCCCTCGCCACCTGCTACCTCCACCCTCAAGCCCCGTCCCACCCCAGCCTGCAAGGAGGCCAGCTCACCAAGGTCCAGCAGCATGCTGTCGGCCGGGAAGGTGGACCCAAACTCCTCCTGCAGGTGGTAAGCCCGGTGCAGCAGGGACTCCAGCTTCTCTGCAAAGTCCCTTCGCTGGGGCTCCGGCTGCAGTTAAGACAATGAACGTCAGCCCGGGCCCTCCACACTCCCCAGGCAAACAGTCTCCCCTCACCAATGATGGGGGCGGGGAAGGGGTGCAGGATCTGGGACCCAGCAGCAGGAGCAGACGTCTAGAGCAGAGCTGCCCAACATAGGAGCCACCAGCCACCTATGGCGAAGGAGCCCTGGGAATGTGGCCTGTCCCAATGGACATGTCCCCTAAGTATAAACGCACACCGATCGCAAATACTTAGTACCAAGAAACCACGAACAAAAATACTCTACAACATCTCGGGGCGCGTGGGTGGCACACTCAGTGAAGCATCTGACTCTTGGTTTCGGCTCAGGTCATGATCTCGGGGCCGTGGGATCGAACCCCGCATCAGGCTCTGTGCTCAGAAGGAGTCTGCTTGAGCTCGGCTCTCTCCCTCTGCCCCTCCCCATTGTAAGCATGTGCATGTGCAAACGCACTGTTTCAAGTAAATATTTAAAAATAAATAAAATAAGGGGTGCCTGGGTATCTCAGTCGGGTAAGCATCTGCCTTCAGCTCAGGTCATGATCCCGTGGTCCTGGGATCAAGTCGCACGTTGGGCTCCCTGCTCAGCAGAGAGCCTGCTTCTTCTCTCCTCCCTGTTCATGCTCTCTCTCACTATCTCTGTCTCTCTCTCTCTCTCTAATAATAAATAAATAAAATATTTCAATGATGCTCCACGTTGATCACATGTTGATATAGTAATATTCTCCATGTACTAGATTACATAAAACGCATTATTAAGGGACGCCAAAGTGGCTCAGTCAGTTGAGCTTCTGACTCTTGATCTGAGCTCAGGAGTCATGAGGTCAAGAATCTTGGAGTCGTGAGTTCAAGGCCCACACTGAGCTCCACACTGGGCATGGAGCCTACTTAAAATAAATAAACAAATAATAAAATGTATTATTAAAATTGATTTTACCAGTTTCTTTTTTGCTTGTTAGTGTGGTCTCTAAGAAATTTTAAATGAGCTATGTGGCTTCCTACTGAACAATGCTGACCTGGGCTCTGACCCCAGCACCACCAGCTCCAAATGGTATGACCTCAAGTAAATTACTTCCTCATTCTAAGCCTCTGTTTCCTTACCTATCAACTGAGATGAGAGTACCTACTTCCAGGATTTTAGGGAAAACATGAAGGAGAGAAGGTATGCAAAGCTCTTCACGCAAGGCTGACCTCTGGTGGTGACCAGTAAGTGTTGATTATTATAATCATCATTATGATATAATATATAACATATATATAACACGTAAACTATAATATATAATATATAACATGTACATATATAACATAGCATGTACGGATGATAATAAGATCATTATAATAAAAGCACAGTCAGGATCCCAGAAAGAGCTGGGTTCAAATTCCACTCTCAATACGAATCGTGCGTGCTTGGGAAAGTGTTGCATTGAAGACGCAACAGCCTCCTCCTGCCCTTGGCTTCCAAGCTGGTATGTGCAAAGGAGGAGGCACCGCACCTTTGATCCCAGCAGCTTCTCGGCCAAGAGGCCAGGCATAGGTAGGCCCAACTCCATTTTCTACCAAGGCTGCCAGATCCTGCACCTGTATGTAACCAGACCCCAGGGAGGAGCCCAAGGCCAGCTCGGGCCTGAGGCCTCTGGGGACAGAGCTGGGAGGGCTCAGAGAGGACGGCAATGCTGGAAATGGGTTCTCGCACACAGAGCTCGTCTGGGATCGGGCACCTGCTGTTCAGCCTTGCAGCATCCTTGAAGGCAGGCATGGCCGTGACCCCGATTCACAGAGAAAACGCAAGGACGTTAAGTGGCCCAGCTCACTCAGCTAGCCCCCCAGCAAGGCTCATGGAACGCTGGGACCCCGCCCCCTTTGCTCAATTCCCCGCCAATGCGGCCGGCACAGCCCATAGCTTTGGCGAAGGTCTGCGTACTCTTTCTCTGTCAAGTGGCCTCGGGTTAGGGACCGGTTTCCTGGATGTCACACCCAAAGCGCAAATGACGAAAGAGAAAAGATACACTGAACTCATTGAAATTAAAAACCTCTGTGCTTCAGGGGTGCCTGGCTGGCTCAGTTGGAGAAGCGTGCGACTCGGGACGGTGAGTTCGTGCTCCACACTGGCTGTGGAGCCGCCTTAAAATAATTTTTTTAAAAAATACAAAAGATGAAAAAAAAAACAACTTTTGTGCTTCAAAGGATGCCATCAAGCAAGTGAAAAGACAATCTGCAGAATGGGAGAAAGTATCTGCAGAGCCTCTCTCTGATAAGGGACTTCTATCTAGAATATACAAAGAACCCTTACAATTTAATAATAAAAAGACGTAACTACTTGTCTGTGGCTAGACACTTGGGTTGCTTCCATATATTGGCTATTGTAAATGCAAGTACCCATCCAGATAAAGAAGTGACATACATACACATACACACACACACATATGTATATATATATACCATAAAAATATTATTAATATTAATAATTTTATATAATTAATATATATAATTTTATATACTATATAAATAATATAATTGTATAATTATATAATTATATAAATAATATAATATTAATAATATTATTATTCTTTTTTACTCAGCCATAAAAAAGAATGAAATCTTGCCATTTGAAACAACATGGATGGATCTACAGAGTATAAAGTCCAAGTGAAATAAGCCAGAGAGACAAAACCCACAGGATTTCACTCATTTGTGGAATTTAAGAAACAAAACAAACGAATAAACTGAAAAAAAGACAAAAAAAACCACCAGACTCTTAAATATAGAAACCAAACTGGTGGGTGCCAGATGGGGGAGCTGGCTGGGGGGGATCGGTGAGGCAGATAAAGGGATGAAGAGGGCACTCACCGTGATGAGCACTGAGTAATATATAAAACTGCTAGATCGGGGGGTGCCTGGGTGGCTCAGTGGGTTAAGCCTCTGCCTTTGGCTCAGGTCGTGATCTCAGGGTCCTGGGATTGAGCCCCACACTGGGCTCTCTGCTCAGTGGGGAACCTGCTTCCCCTCTCTCTCTGCCTGCCTCTCTGCCTACTTGTGATTTCTCTGTAACTAAATAAATAAAATTTTTTTAAAAAATTGCTAGATCATTAAAAAAAGATAAATAACCAAATTAAAAACTAAGGATCTGAACAGACATTTCTCCCAAGACGACATACAAATGGCAAACAAGCCCATGAAATGAAGCTCCAGTTAGCCCAGGGAAATGCAAATCAAAACCACAACGACATCACCATTTCGCACCCACTAGGATGGCTAGAACCGAAAAGACAGATGAACACAAATGCTGGTGAGGATGTGGAGAAACCGGAAGCTTCCTACACGGCTGGTGGGACTGTAAAGCGGTGCAGCTGCCGCGGCAAATGGTCTGGCTCCTCCGAGTGTCAAACACAGCGTTACTGGAGGACCCAGCACTGCCACTCCTACTGTACCCCCAAGGGAGTTAAAAGCAATGCGTCCACACACACACTTGCACACACAATGGTCACAGCAGCATTACTCAGAAGAGCCACAAAGTATAAAAAACCCAAATGCCCATCAGTGGACGAACAGCTAAATGAAACGCGGTCCGGCCACACCATTATCACTCAGCAATACAGAGAAATGAGGTAGTAATCCAAGTTACAAGAATGAACCTTGATGAGTGCTGTGAAGTGTGTAAACGTGGCGATTCACAGACCTGTATCCCTGGGGCTAATAATACATTATATGTTTATTAAAAAATAAAAAAAATAAATAAAAGAAGAATGAACCTTGACAACATAATGCCCCAGGAAAGGGGCCAGTCATAAAAGGCCACTAGTTGGGGTGCCTGGGTGGCTCAGTTAGTTAAGCGACTGCCTTTGGCTCAGGTCATGATCCTGGAGTCCCGGGATCGAGTCCCGCATCAGGCTCCCTGCTCAGCAGGGAGTCTGCTTCTCCCGCTGACCTCTCTCCTCTCATGCCTTCTTTCACAAATAAATGAATAAAATCTTAAAAAAAAAAAAAAAAGGCCACTAGTTATGAGTCTATTTATAGAAATGCCCACACCAGGCCAATCTGTAAAGATGAAAAGTAGACGAAGGGTTGCCTGGGGCTGGGGCTGTGTCTGACGGAGAGTGCCTGATGAAGTGTATGGGACTCCATGGGAACACGAGATGAAAATGTTCTAAAATTAATTGTGGTGATGAACACCCAACTCTGAATATATACTAGAAGCCAATGAATTGCACAATTCAGAATTGAGCTGAAATGAATTTTATGGTCTACGAATAATATTCCAATAAACCCGTTAAAAAATATCTTTAGGACAGAAAAACACCTGGAAGGATACCAAGCGGTTGTGTCTGGATGAAGGGTTAGAGGCATCAGTAACACCAAGAACAGAGATCATTTATTGAGCATCTACTTTGCGCCAGGATCCTAGGGCTGGCAGTGGTGTCCCGCCAAGGGCTCCCCCCACCCAGTGCTCAGGGAGGCCGAGGGCCTTTGCCCGCATCACACAACGTGAGCCACCTGATCAAAGACCGAAGACTGGGCGTTTTCCTCCCCTTTTCTAGTTCTGTAGTTCTCACTCCTCTCTGAGGAAGACTTCATGGCTTTCACGATAAGAACAATGAAAGTTCTAGAATTTTCAGATGTAGTATTAGCAATCAATAGTGTTTTGGAAACAGAGCTGCCTCCCTTCCTTCCCATGACCTGAAACCCTCCTTCAGGAACTACTATCTGCCCATAGACAGGGAGACCTGATGCAGCTGTGCCCTTGGGCACCAGAGGCTTTGTCACCCTCTAGGGCATTTCTCCAATGTCCTCTGTCCTGTAGCTACTTCTCCTGCTTGGGAGGCAGGCTCTGAGCTGATGCCCCCAGCTGGGGTACAGGGCGCCATACCTTCAACTTCCTCCCTGCTGTGCCAGGCATGTCCTCACCCTGGTGCTGCAAATGGTCTCCAGGCTCCCCTGCCAGCTAGCTCCTGGCCCACAAAGGCACAGGTGGAGAAGGAATGGGATGGAGCAATGGGCAGACCAACTTCCCTCCCAGTCCTGCCTCACACCCTATCACTGCCCCACCCTACCTCAGCTGCGGACACCTGCCGGCCGGCCGGTCAGCCCCTAGCCTGGTTCTAGGTTCTGCGGCTCCTAAAGTCTGGCCACACTCCTCACCTGTGCAACCAATTCCATGCGTTAACCTCCCTTTTTAACACCTGAAGTTGACCTTGACAGACTCTCCAGATACCGTCAGAGTACTCCCTGAAGAGCACCGACTTTGCCCTCACTCCAGCAGAGGACAGAAGCTCATAGGGCTTTTTTTCTTAAATACATAAAAGCGTAAAGACTAAAAGAGAAACAGTCCACAATCCTATCACCTGTACAAACCTTGCCATTAGGCATAGCTCGAAATTATGAACGCCACAAAGTAAAGTACAATAAAAGCCTTTTTCCACTTTTCCCTTTCAACCCGATGTTCCTCACAGATCACTGTCAACAGTTTCCCGAGTTATCCGTCCAGAGGAAAGTAGAAATGCACAAACACCCCAGTTACCCCCAGGCACACATATGCAGGGATCTCTGTCCTTCTGAACACGTACACACGTGGGTTCCCCTACACACATTCCACATCTTGCTTTTTTTCACTTAATGACATACTGTGGCGAGAGCAGCCTATCAGCCCAGGCAGATTTCCCGCATGCTGGACTCCGGACCCCTGTGGATGGACATATAGATCGTTTCTAGTTTTTTCTGATTTCTCACTGTTAGAAGATAATGCTTCAGTAAACGTCCATCCAGAACACACACATTTTTTATGTTAGCTTTTTTGCTTTATTTCTCTTTCCTGATACTGAAATAAATACTGACAGTGCCCCAAAAAATGTCTAAAGAAAGGACAGGACAAAGGCTGTGTGATCCGCTCCACTGAACGAAGGCCATTTCCCACCAGTCCTTCGTAAAAGGCATCTTTTCCTCACACAGTTGGGACCGGGTGTGATGAGCTTCTGGATTACTGAGTGAGTACCGAGTGCCACACATGTGCTAAGCCCCTTGGGTGGACTGACATCCCGGTGGAAGGGGAAGCTCACAGCCCAGCAGAAGGCGGGGTGCTACGCTGCCTCCCGGAGGCTGGCTGTCTCTCTCTGCCCCACCTCCAGCCTTCTCCGTGGCTGGGAAAGAAAGACGCAGGAGAGGACCACCTACCTCAGAGAGCACCTCCGAAGCAGTCTCGGGGTTCCGCAGGCTCTCCCCTGGTGTGGGGGTGCTGCCACTGTCCCCTCTCTGCCCCACGCTCAGCGCCTGCTCCCACTTCTGTAGAGCTTCCTCGAACAGCTCCATGCCTGAGCACGGGCGGGAAGACAAGGGAGAGAGTCTGACCTCGGCAGAGGAGAGCAGCCAGGCCCCACGCTCCAGACCCCACTGAATGAGGGTTTTGGGGTCAGGAGTGGGGTTGCAAATCAGCACCAGGGAAGGTGTCCTGAGCCCAGTCTGGGCTCCTGGGAGGAGGCCGTTTGTCCCCCAACTCTGCCCCAGGGGAGGCCCCACGGCTGACCTCCTGGCCCGTACCTTGCATGTACAGACTCTCTGCGTTGCCGTCACTGGTGGTCACGGACTCTTCCATACCTCTGGCGTCCCATGGTCCTGAGCAGGCAGCCGTGGGGCTGGACGAGTTCACTGCTACTGTCTGGGCACCAAGCAGCACAAGGATCCAAGGGCAAGGGGTAAGGCCCTCCCAGATCCTTTGCAGGACCCAAGCCCCTCCCATGGCCTGGTCCTATGTCACACACCCTCTCTGAAGACCATCCCTGAAGTGAGCCCACAGCACATGGCCAAGCCCTCTCAGCAGGGCCTGGTCCCCAAAACTCAAAGCATTGGACAGCACTTCACAGAAGCTATAGAAGTGGGAGGAAAGAGGCCCGTGGCCAGCCCAGGAAGCAGCAGCCTCCTACAGAAGCCGCCCTGGGCCTGTTCCCTGCTCTGGCACTCTGCAACTAGGTGGGGCTAGGAAGGCTGAAGGAGCTCCCACCACCACACGGCGGGGCAGGGCCCACACTCCCCACACTTCCCGCCCTGCTGGGATGTGGGCTCCTCTGGGCCACGAGCCCTCTCTTGCCCACCCCTGGGTTCCCAGGGCAGACCCGGGCTCAGGGCTCAATGCATGAACAGGTCACTAGATGAGCGAATGAGCCCAAAGCCACTCCCCAGGAGAAAATAAGCTTCTCTTTGTCTCATTTATCTCTTTATCTTCAGCACAGTCCCTGGCACCTGCTCCATGTCTGAGGAACGAATGAATGAACTTTCATAGACAAGTATCTTCCCCGCAAGAGGCCACCCACCTCTCTTCTGCCCCATCCACCTCTCTGTCACCGAAGCCTGGCCCTCGGTGTGATCAGTGATAGTCTCGGAAAGCCCGTGTGGATGGATGAGAGACCAAAGGAAATTTCCCCTGTCTTCCTTCCGGTCTGTGAGCTCCCTGAGGGCAGAGACTCGAGCCTCCTCAGAACCAGGGCCTAAGCCCTGAGCCCGCTGGTGTCCTCCCTCCTCTATTTTTTTTTTTTTTTTAAAGATTTTATTTATTTATTTGACAGAGAGAGATCACAAGTAGGC